AGCTGGGGCTCGTGGCTGCCGCTGGTTGTCGGGGCTGAGAGTCACCCCAAGACAGCCGGGAGCTTCGAAAATGCGCAAAGGTGGCCTTAGTTTTGGTTTGGTGTGTGCGGTGACGAGCCAACGGGGCGGTCAACGCGTGAAGGGGACAGAAGGCCCCGGCGCTGGCAAGGAAACGGGGCGTGCGAGGTTGAGACAAACGTGTTCGGAGATGGCTTTTTATCAGTCTCTCAAATGACTTCCTTAAAAATAGAGCTTTAACAATGAGCATTAATTACCCTCTGTCTGGAATTAGACATGAAATCTGCAAGATATAAAGCATATATACACATACGTACCAACATACATTGCAGAGGGGTGCCTTTATAAAGCATCGTTTGTTTGCCTAAGATTTTTACCCAAGAAAACGCTATTTCAGTTTAAGTAATATGAAGTCACGCTCTTTCCGTTACAATACAGACATCCCCAGTCTATTTTCAGTTCTGTCTGGCTAGTGCAGCGCTCGGTAGCACTTCCCCTTCTCTTCTTACGATGCTAATTTTATTCTGGTACCCAAAGTCTTTCTGGCGATAGGGCCACCTCCTGTTTCACCTGCGGTGATGTCTGTTGGAAAGTTAAAATACCCGGTGGCTAATATCACAGTCTATGAGAGCGTGTGCCACTGTCTGAGTACGCAATAAGGGAATGCTGCGAAGTCACAGGGGCTGTTGCGCGCTAACCGATGGCGTGTGATTTACTCTAAGACCTCAGGTACGTGTTGTTGATAACTGTAGGGCCACCTCCTGTTTCACCTGCGGTGATGTCTGTTGGAAAGTTAAAATACCCGGTGGCTAATATCACAGTCTATGAGAGCGTGTGCCACTGTCTGAGTACGCAATAAGGGAATGCTGCGAAGTCACAGGGGCTGTTGCGCGCTAACCGATGGCGTGTGATTTACTCTAAGACCTCAGGTACGTGTTGTTGATAACTGGGACAAAGCCAGGCATCCGAGTACAGGACCAAAAAAAAAAAAAAAAAAAAAG